GGGGGGGGGAACTGCTGACCCGGACAGGGGACATCGTCGGGCGGTGGAAAGAGCACTTTGAGGAACTCCTAAACCCGACCAACATGTCCTCTGCAGAGGAGGCAGCGCCTGAAGATCTAGGGGGAGGCTCACCCATATCCCTGGCAGAGGCCGCTGAGGTAGTCAAAAAGCTCCTTGGTGGCAAGGCGCCGGGGGTGGATGAGCTCCGCCCTGAGATGCTGAAAGCGCTGCACATAGTTGGGCTGTCCTGGCTGACACGCCTCTTCAATGTCACATGGGGGTCGGGATCAGTGCCCATGGACTGGCAGACCAGGGTGGTGGCTCCCATTTTCAAAAAGGGGGACCGGAGAGTGTGCTCGAATTACCAGGGTAACACACTACTCAGCCTCCCGGGGAAGGCTTATGCCAGGGTGCTGGAAAGGAGGCTCCGACCGTTTGTCGAACCTCAGATTCAAGAGGAGCAACGCGGATTCCGTCCCGGCCGTGGAACAGTGGACCAGCTCTTTACCCTCGCAAGACTACTGGAGGGGTTCTGGGAGTTTGCCCAACCAGTCTACATGTGCTTTGTGGACTTGGAGAAGGCTTTCGACCGGGTCCCTCGGGGGTTCTTGTGGGGGGTGCTGCGGGAGTATGGGGTGCCGGACCCATTACAACGGGCGATCCGGTCTCTGTACGACTGCAGTAGGAGCTGTGTCCGCATTCTCTGCAATAAGTCAGACACGTTCCCGGTGGGTGTTGGCCTCCGCCAGGGCTGCCCTTTGTCTCCGGTCTTGTTCGTGACTTTCATGGACAGGATATCTAGGCGCAGCCTGGGGGTGGAGAACGTCAGGTTCGGGGGTCTCGGGATCGCCTCTCTGCTGTTTGCAGATGATTAGCCTCCTGTTAGCCTCCTCGGATCGTGACCTCCAGCATTCACTGGGGCGGTTTGCAGCCGAGTGTGAAGCGGCGGGGATGAGAGTTAGCACCTCCAAATCTGAGGCCATGGTGCTCTGCCGGAAACCGGTGGATTTCTCCCTCCAGGTGGTGACGGAGTGCCTACCTCAAGCGAAGGAGTTCAAGTATCTCGGGGTCTTGTTCACGAGTGAGGGTAAGATGGAGTGGGAGATCGACAGACGGATCGGTGCGGCTGCAGCAGTAAAGCAGGTGCTGCACCGGACCGTCTTGGTGAAGAGGGAGCTGAGCCGGAAGGCAAAGCTCTCAATTTACCACTCGGTCTACGTTCCTACCCTCACCTATGGTCACGAACTCTGGGTCGTGACCGAAAGGACAAGGTCGCGGCTACAAGCGGCCGAAATGAGTTTCCTCCGTAGGGTGGCCGGGCTCAGCCTTAGAGATAGGGTAAGGAGCTCGGTCATCAGGAGGGAGCTTGGAGTCGAGCCGCTACTCCTTCGCGTCGAAAGGAGTCAGCTGAGGTGGTTCGGGCATCTAATTAGGATGCCTCCTGGACGCCTCCCACTGGAGGTTTTCCAGGCACGTCCAACTGGGAAGAGACCCCGGGGAAGACCCAGAACGCGCTGGAGGGATTACATCTCCCAGCTGGCCTGGGAACGCCTCGGGATCCCCCAGAATGAGCTGGAACATGTTGCCGGTGAGAGGGAAGTCTGGGTCAGCCTGCTTGGCCTGTTGCCACCGCGACCCGACCCCGGATAAGCGGAGGAAAATGGATGGATGGATGGAATTCAATTCAATTTATTTTTGTACAGCCCAAAATCACAAATTACAAGTTTGCCTCAGAGGGCTTTACAATCTGTACACATGTGACATCCTCTGTCCCGGGACCCTCACATCGGAACAGGAAAAACTCCCCAAAACCCTTTAACGGGGAGAAAAGAGGAAGAGACCTGTGGGAGTACAGAGAGAAGACGATGCACGAGACTCGAGCTGCTGACTGTTATGCTCCCATTTGAGTATTTCTCTCGTCTCTGCAGCAATCAAAGTACATTTACTCAAGTGCTGTACTTAAGTACACGTTTGAGGTACTATACGTACTATACATGAGTCTTTTCTTTTCATGCAACTTATAAAATAGTTGATTGTACTTTTTATTCCACAATTATTTGTCATTTTTTATGCCAAAGAATTTAAGGTTCCAGCTTCTCAAATGTGAGGACTTGCTGCTTTTAATTATCTTCATTCTAAATATATTTGTGACTTTTGGTTGGACAAAACAAACACAGTGGAGGTGTCACTTTGGGCTCTAGGTAAATATGACGACATCACTATTTCCACTATTTTCTGTACAAATCAAACAATGACGACAAAATGGATTTAATGGGTAAAATAATCAGCGTGAAGAACAAACCTGCAGTAAACATTTGATCCTCTCTCCTGGAGCCACAATCACGGTGGTGAAGACGCCCGCCAGACAGCCAGACAGGAATATCTGAGTTTGCCTGAAGAGAAGAGAAAGGAGAGCTGAGGCTGAACTGGAGAACTATAGGTGATGACTCTTTCACGGTATAAATCATCATTGCTTGCATGAGAATTGTTGATTCGAGCAGCTTTAAAAGACGCCACCTTTAAGAAATCATTTTTAAAATTCACAGTGAGGCTGTTCTTTGGACTAAATGCTAAACGTCAGCATGCTAACATGCTAGCATGCTGACGTTTAGCAGGTAGAACGTTCACTGTCTTCTTAGTTTAGCGTGTTAGCATGCTAACATTTCAGCTCTCGGTTGATACATGTACCATTACTACGATGTGGAAAAAGGCTTCTGGTTATTATTGCGATTATTGCTCCAGTGAATGTTAGTCAGTCCTGATGGGCAGGTGGCCCCTGCATGGATGGATGAATGAGTCTTGTAAATGTATTTTAAGTGGTCCATTTACTATTTAAAACATCTCTTAGACCACTAACAATATGCTTATATTGATGCTAGATGATGCTCTAAACACAACAACTCACTTTAATTTAAAACTCAACAGCTTATTCTAGACCTTAGGAATAAAACAGGAGTAGAACGGACATTTACCATTCAAATTAGTGAAGCAGAGCAGCGGCCATTTTTATGTGTACCGTTGCCATTGCGACTATTGTAGGCGGCTAGATTCCATACAAACTAAAGCGACTAACGGCAAGTCACGACCTCACTAATACGAGCTGCGGTGTAGAAACGTTACGAAGCGCAGAGAGTCAGAGGAAAAGAGTCAAATTCAACAACTTAATGATTCATCCACACACTCCCGTCACAGCGTAAGAGAGAACATTGCTGTAACCAGTGTAGCATTAAAGCATGGTGGAATTAGCAAGCTAACTAGCGAACAGATAGCTATTTAATTAGCTTGCTAATTCTGCCATGTGGATGTACAGTCAGCTACACTGGTAACAGAAAACAGCTGGCTGGTGGCAAGGTCCCATAAAGGACAAGCTAACATTAGCCTCCCAAGCTAACTAGCCAGCCATCCGCTCACTTCACCATTTTGTTTTGTACTAGTCAGAGGACCACGGAAAACCAGTTCAATGTCTGTTCTATTCATATTCTATTTCTATGTGCTAGACTGGGCTAATGTTTGTGGGATTTAGCTCAGCATTTAATATCATCCTCTCTCAGATCCTGTTAAACAAGCTGAAACAGATACAGTGAACCCCTAGATAATTATTTCCAAGAAACCTTTAAACTACATTTTGTGTATAAGCAATGTATTCAACATTATGTTCTCTGTGTATCTGTTGGAATACTTTGCTGCACAAAACAGAACAACATTTCTCTATAGGCCAGTGGAGGGAGTGAACAGCTGATGGAAAAAAACCTCAACGTCTTTATCCTCTCGAACTTAACAGAAAACATATGCACATGGAGCGATGCCAGGGAGGAGGAGGAGGAGGAGGAAGAGGAGGAGGAGGAGGCACAAAGGCATTGTGAAACACAAGAACTAGAAACCCTTCTGTGTTGCTCAATTGTTCGTTGACACAGTTATGTCGTTAAATAGCTCTAAAGAACTGGCTAACGGACATCTTTTAGATAGAACGGAACAGAGTGAAACAAAAACACATGATTGGTTGACGCATTTGAGCACTTAAAAAAAGTGAAAGAGACCAGCTAAAGCTTTTTATATCATGTGACACGGCCTCAGGAGGCTTCCATTAAAATAACGAAGTGTGAACGTAGCATTAGAGGCTACCGGTGGTCTCCAGCACGTGTGTCATTGCCACATACACATATATAGAGGAGAAGACAGGGTCAAAATAAAAGCAGCTGACGACAGGGTGTGTTTGTGTGTGTGTGTGGGGGCAGAGAAGTGTGCGTGTGTGTGTGTGTGTGTGTGTGTGTGTGTGTGTGTGTGTGTGTGCGTGTGGCTTTACTTACGTTAGGGGTTTGTCAGGGTCCGTCTGCTGGAGCTGTTTACCCAGGCCGAACCCAAAGAAACTGATGGCCATCATAGGAGCCACTCCCGCCAGGGGAGCCCCCATACCTTTATAGAGGCCGAGGATACCCTGGACACACACACACACACACACACACACACACACGCACACACACACACACACACACACACACATTAATCATCTAATCTAAAGCTAATGTATGGCAAGACTTTCTTGTTTTTATGCACGTTTTCAATTTGGACATAACAAACCTGAGAGCATGAGTACATGAGATGTGTGTGCAGCGATGAGGGGACTGAAACCTTCCTCATGTATATATATATATATAATTTAATTTAATTTAAATATAATATATATATATATTAATATTAATATTCACACAACAAGAGTGGAATGGAAATAAATAATCACAATCACAAACGGTTTATTGCCAAGTATGTTACACTACAAGGAATTTGGCTTGGTGATTGGTGCGTAACAATAAACATTAAAAGACATAATTTAAAAATAGAAAATATAAAAATGTACAATAAACTATGATAAACAAACAAACAAATAAATAGTATTTTAAGACATTTTATGTTATTAAAGTGACAATTGTGTATTTAAAGCATTTATTCAGATTTTATTTTGCAGATTTTTAGGACTTCACTAACTGTACACTTTAATAGGGTATAGGGTGTGTGTGTGTGTGTGTGTGTGTGTGTGTGTGTGTGTGTGTGTGTGTTCACCTCTTTGGATACGGTCTTGCGGAAGCAGTCATACGTTCCTGTGTAGATCACATACCGAGCACAGGGGACTTTGGGCTGTGTCTGTAGCCTCACCTGGACAACAGAATATAATTAGAAAGGTCAGCTACACACACACACACACACACTCACACACACACACACACACACACACACACACACATATCTCTGGCCATGTGTTCTGAGGGGAGGATTGTTGAGACATGAGATAAGAGAAACACCCGCTGATAACAAATAAACAGGGTGTTGTGAGTCTGACAGTGAGAGTCAGATACAACAAGCTCACATTCACATAAATGACTCATACTAAACATGAATAAACATAAACATAAAATACACGAGGCCGAAGCAACCTATATGGTTAAGATAACACATTTCTCATTTTTAAAGTTCTCCCTTGAAAAAGAAAAATAGGGTACAAGAACCATCTTGGAAAGGGCCCACGCAGAACCCTCTATGAGAGGTTCTACAGCGAACAGTTCTTTGGTGTAATGGTTCAACCCAGAAACTCCTGTGGAGGTTCTATCCAGAACTTTTCCACCTTCTACGGGTGCTTCCAGGGGGTTCTACCAAGAACACTTTTTTATTCCAAGTTTCTGTTATCTTGAACCCATACAGGGGGTTATACTAAGAACTCTTTTATATTCCCAGAGGTTTCATCTAGAACCCACCCAGGGGTTTCTAACGAGAACACTTTTATATTCCAAGGGCTTCATCTAGATGTGGGACCCTAAAGGGCCGGGCCTCTTTTATCCAAAAAGGGTTCTTTGAATCAAAAGGGTTCTTAATGGAACCCTTAAGGAGTTTTTGTACCATAGACACTTTTTCAAATGCTATCCCAGTCAAGTTAGCACAACGGCTAAACCGGTAGCACAAGGGCTAACACAGTAACGATAGCACAAAGGCTATCCCAGTCAAGTTAGCACAACGGCTAAACCGGTAGCACAAGGGCTAACACAGTAACGATAGCACAAAGGCTAGCCCAGTCAGGATAGCACTAATGCTAACCCAGTAGCACAAAGGCTAACACAGTAAGGTTAGCACTAATGCTAACCCAGTAGCACAAAGGCTAACACAGTAAGGTTAGCACTAATGCTAACCCAGTAGCACAAAGGCTAAACCGGTAGCACAAAACACCCCCACTGAGACGAAGAAGCCGATTCAAACTGAAATCACAACAGATACTTTCATTTTGCGTGTGTTTATATGATTGTGACATGTAACAGGTGTGTATCTATTATTATATTACTAAACTAAATGCTTGTAGCGAACTTAGCAAACTTGCCGCTCGCCGCTCTCCCGGCAGGCGGTGTGAATGCAAACAGGAAACCAGTAGGAACCCTGTATTCCTCCAGTGAACCTTTTGTCGGCCTCCTGAGTGAACCACACAACAGATAGTATTTGAGGAATGACATGGACAGTTATGCTATAAATAGAAATGTCATAAAAACCCTCAACTGAAATGTTTTCTCCTCACTTCACTCCTCTTCACCGCTCTGAACATATGAAGCTTTTCTGTCGTGAGCTGGTTCATGATGAGGTGAATATTGTTTTAAGACAACTTCAACATTTTGATTGAACTTAGAGACAAAAAGGAGACTTTGAATCTCAAATGATGCTAGAACGAAGAAACTGTCAGTCCTCACTTATCGTTAACATAAGTGAATGAATTGACCAGTCGATTGACAGAATATTAATCAGCAGCATTTTTGTGAATCCAACGCAATTTGATTCATTTTTTTCAATAAAAATTATAAACTTTATCTAGTTCCAGCTTCTCAAATGTGAAGATCTGCTGCTTTTATCTTTTTGAACATAATTGTAAACACTTTGGGACAATTTTACGACGTCACTTTTGGAATTCGGGAAATTGTGATGGGAAGGTTTCACTAACTAGTATAAATAACTAGTATAAATAACTAGTATAAATATCTAGTGTAAATAACTAGTATAAATAACTAGTGTAAATAACTAGTATAAATAACTAGTATAAATAACTAGTATAAATATCTAGTATAAATAACTAGTATAAATATCTAGTGTAAATAACTAGTATAAATAACTAGTATACATATCTAGTATAAATAACTCGTATAAATAAGTAGTATAAATATCTAGTATAAATAACTAGTATAAATATCTAGTATACATATCAAGTATAAATATCTAGTATAAATAACTAGTATAAATATCTAATATAAATATCTAGTATAAATAACTAGTATAAATAACTAGTATAAATATCTAATATAAATAACTAGTATAAATAACTAGTATAAATGATGAATCGGTTCATTGGAAGAGTAATCAGTAGATTAAAATAACATAACAATATAATAATAAAAGTTATTATAATATATATATATGACAGTTGACATACATATATTAAATAATATATATTTATTATATTTATATATACTGTATATGTCAACTATCATATACTGTATATATATACTATATATATACAGTTGACATATATATATATATAAAATAATATACGTATATATATTTATTATATATACAGTATATGTCAACTGTCATATATATATATATATATATATATATATATACATTCATCAGACATCCCCTCTTTCTGACACTAAAAACAAACTCTAATCGATGATAGTAAAATAAAGTTGAATAGTTTAATAGTAACTTCTCCTTTATAAATAGCCTGATCTAACGCTATAACACCATCACTACACACACACACACACACACACACACACACACACACACACACACACACACTCTTAAGCCTCCTCCTTTATCTTTAGGAGCTGTCTCGCGGACCTTTGGTGACATTATAAGCTGATTTATCGATAATCTCCTGAACACCTTCATCTGATCACCTGACTTTTCCCTCCGTCAATCTCTCTGAAACACAGACACAAATCTTCAAGACAGGAACTAAATGATTTCCGAACAAC